TTCGTCTGGATTTTACGACGGAGACTGGGCACAAGTTCCATGTCACAGGTCAACGCAAGCATGAAAAGGACAGATTGAAAGTTTGCTACATTTCATGGTGCCCCAAATGTGTCAGCCAAAGTGATATGTACTACGACTTGTCCACTTGACTGTAATCTTTGCTGACTTGATTATGATTCAGGTTGTTCACAGTTGTTGGGCGAATTGGCAGAAAAATTGTCTGCGGCCTGTGGTAGTCCTTGATATTTTCAGTCATGTTTTGATTGCTATGATTCCAAGTCATGGGACCTTTCAGCACAGGAAACTGAATAGCAGTGCACATCGTACGTGCCAGCCAGGTGAATCATCATGAAGATCAACAATGGATGACCATGACTTGTTTGATGAGGTTGATGCTGATTGAGCTGAATGTCTTGTCACGTATTGTTCAATTTTAACCTAGACTAAAAATCGTGCCCTACTGTATTTTTCACTGAGTTTGATGTTGTTTGCAAGGGTTGGAATCCCTGCCAGCACAGTGCTCTCCAGCCAAAACCTTTCTAGTTAAAGTTTCAATATATAAACTTAATTTCAGCACAGTGCTCTTCAGCAAAAATTTGACTAGATTCAAACATCATATTACAGTAACAATCCCTGCCAGCACAGTGTTCAGCAAAAGTTTACTTACTTACTAGCTACTGTTCAATAATCTTACAATCCCTGCCAGAACAGTTAAAGCTTGACTACTTTCCAAAACTACTTTTCATTGCCTTGCGCCAATACTTGACTAGTTGCAAAAAACCGTACTTTGTCACAATCCCTGCCAGCACAGAGCTCTTCAGCCAAAACTTACTAGGACCAAAACTTTCAACGAGGCCAGGAGCGATTATCGTAAAGGGACCGTTTGTACTTAGTACTTCTTTCATTGTGTTGTGTAAGTTGACGTGTCGCTAGACTTGTCAACTTATCGTGAAAGGAAATGTTGAACTTTCATTTTGTCTGTAAGTTCACTGCAACTTCACTCGTGGCTCCACTCGTGAAAACACTTTTGGTTCACTCATACTTTTACTCGTTGGGGAGTTTTGTTCAAAATCATTTCTAATCATATGTGTGACATTTTTACTCTTTTTTGAATAATTCCTAATCAGTTTAAACCTTATCTGTGACAATTTTATGCTTAAATATGATTAACTATAATCAAACCAATTTCAAACATGCAAAAAAAGTACTAGCCAGAGTGACCTCAAAGGGTGCCCATCTGGAGGGTCAACTTCAATTTGCTGAAAGTTGTTAACTACTTATGGAACTTATAGTTACGATATAACTTAGTTATAACTTCAAGTTATAACTAAGATATAACCGACTTCTTCTAGGGTATAACTCTATACAACTAAAAACTTATACAGTAGTTGATCAAAGTGATCATGGGTGCCCCTTCTATCTGTATGTTTGCGGAGACAAAAGCCCGCCGCACACTGACTTGCAAAGCCTGCTGACCACATGGAGCATGGCGTCATTTGGCCTCCACGCCCTTGTGGACCCTCCAAACCTCACCTGCATTCAGATCGACAGGTTTGACTCACGTGGCAAGAAAACCGATCCCGGGCCACATGGGGTACCAAGGTCTGGCTTCCCTACTTCATTCAGAACACGATGGAGCTCGACAACATCCCCTACCAGGTCGGCGCCCTCTCCTACCACCTTGAAACAGAAGCCACAAGTGGTCACTACTGCACTGCCATGTGGATCTACAACGACGACAATGATCATGAGCCCGGGGAGCCCGTGAAGTTCACTGCACCTCCCTTCCAACCGTGGGGCAGGAGAATGTATGTCTCCTATATGGCTCAAATGCACAACTCATGGAGGCGCGGAAGCGTTCTCAAGGTTGGAGGGCGAATCTCCAATCTTCGACAACATCATACTATGACCGCTCGGTTCAGGATGACTGGCAACATCAATGGCTTCCTGCCCTTAAGCTGGCCCTTGCAACAAGCGAAGTGCATCATGTCTGGTACCCTGTACGGTCTTGCCACATCAGCCAAACTTATGATCGAGCAACCTGGCCGGCATTGTGGTCCTAGCCTGTATAGTAGGATGGTTCAACCTCAAGACAAGGTGCAAAATTGCGAACTGCCGCAGGCAGGCACACGGGTGGTCCTGGACCTCACTCATGCCGATGCGGTAGTACGGATGGCGAGGGTGTGCCCTGGATAGGAAGCTCATCCCAGAGAGTGTGGTGTGCAATCTCCATGCGGACCTTGACAGGACGGCCCACGCCTTCATCGACCTGATGAGCGTTTGGAAAGATGAACATGAAGATGAAGATGAAGATGATGATGGTGATGATGATGATGATATCAAACTCCCCGTCAACATCGAGTGTCGTATGCAAAACACAAACTCGGTAACAGCTCATACACAGGAAACAAGGCAAACAAAACACACACATTCATCCATCCCTCCAAACCCTAATGCCATGACCAACCGCCACCCTTGGTTAGTTGAGGCTGCGCAGCTGCCACTCAAGGAAAGGAAAGGTCTCCACATGCACAAACTCGCTTTTTTTGCCTCAGGTTTGATACGCTGGCTGCGCTGACTACCGCAATATGATATAGTACGCCATCCACCCTTGTCTGACTGGGGCTTGTGGTGTCTTGATTTGAAGATTGAGACATGCATTGAACTCCTCACAGGCTTAAAATAGTTCAATCATGCTCATACAGTGGTCCAGCCAAAAGTTTCTTCTGTTTCACCTCAGGGAGGATCAGAACCGGTGCTACTGCCAATTGAAAGAGGTGCAAAGTAAGTGGCAGCTGCAATTGTCCTGCCAAACTGTAGGAACTGGGGCAAGGCAACCAACAAAGCGCAAGACACGGCATCACCATTTCAAGCCTAGAGGCGCTCCGATCACTATGTCAGAGTAGCGAACACCAGTGGCAAAAGCGTTCGACGCCACCTAGAGGGGAACCGTCTTGCGTCTTCTTTGCATTTGTAGTCACTGCGGTCAACTATCATGCAGGCTGTTGTACCCTCGGACCACGCAGCCACTAAAGCGCTTTCCTCTCCATAGCGTGGCAAAAGGTCGAAAAGGGTTGGGTCGGGATACGGCCCCTATGGTTCGAGCCGTTCGTCAGGTGCAGGCTTGGGATCAACCATGGTTCCATCAATCGCTTGAGTTTCACAGCTCCTATAGGTTTTTCCTTGATCCCAAACCGTCGGATCTCCGAACTGCTCTGTCCCGCTTCGTGGGCGGCTGCCCTCCGTTTCTGGCCCAAGTGGCCATGAAGGCATCCCATACCTCCTCCGGGTGTTTGGCGGTGATCACCTCACATCTGGTATAATAGTTGGTGCCCCAGTCCAAGATGTTCGGGGTGGTCTGCTTGCCGTCTCCGGGTGCCGGGACGTAGAACAATCGAGGCCTAGTACCCGATTTGGTTGGTAGGCACGAGGTAACGCATTAAAAGGCCAGGACAGACGAACCGCCATCGAGATTCAGATCATCAGGCAAGATCTGAGGGAGCTGAAGGGAGAGGTCAAATGGGTAGACCACTTGGCCATGCCGGCTGATGGACTAACAAAAGTCCAAGGTTCAAATGCTGCCCTGCATGACCTGATGAAGACAGGTCTTATTAGCATCCGCCCGACCGAAGAACAGATGGACGTTTGGGCCCCCAGAGGTCATCACCTGTGACGCAGGCCGCGAGTTCCTCAGTGAGTTCATCAAGAAGGCGGCTGCTGCGTGGCTGAGGTCGAACAGACGAAGAAAAACCGGTCCGGTTTCAGTCCGGTCCAACGACAGGACAATGGCCCAGGCTTCCAATTGCCATCCTATCTGATGAGATGGTGGATCCCACACTGCTCGACGGGGTGATCCCGGACGACATCGAGCGCTTGCACCGCTTGAGGAGAGTGGCCCACAAGGCTTCCTGTGAATTCGGGGGCCATTTGATCACCAAAAACAAGGTCGAAGGTCAAATGGCCATTTGGACACGAAAAAACGGTATGGCCGTGAAAAGTTATTTGGCCGTGAAAAAGCCGGTAAGGCCGTGCAAAAGTGTGCATTTGGACGTGAAAAAACGGCTCTTGGCCGCGAAAAGGCGTGAAAAACGTGAACTCAAGGAGTTGAAACCGTGAAAAAACCAAATGGCCGTGAAAACGGGCAATGGCATCAAAGCTTTACAAAATAGGGTCGAGAGCTGTTTGATCGCATTTTTAGTGATCGAATGGCTCCCCAGATAACGCCAAGAGCACCTACCAGAAAGCCCTCCGAGCACGACCAAGAACCTGGACCGAATATCGAGCTGGAGAGTACGTGTTCGTGTTCCGTGTGCCTCGCCTGAAGAAGAGGAAGCATGGCGGAATCATCGATGACACGAACTCGTCAACCAAAGCCAGAGGGTGGGTCCAGGAGTCGTCATCACACCGTGCAGAGGAGAAGAGAGTGACTCATGTCAAGAACCAGAGTGGGCCGCAAGCGGAAGAAGATGACTGGCATCTCCCCAAGGTGAAGTTCAAGGAGGAATGGTGGCGGGGCCACACCACGTTCTACATCCAGGGCATTGAAGACGCCCGGAACTACGTGGCGGAGAAGCGTGAGCAAGATGAGGTGAGCCTGGCCAAGGAGAGCGACCGAGACAAAGAGGAATGGAACATATCAGACCTCTCAGAGTGGAACAAGGTCACTCAGAGTGAGCAGTCCAGGTGCTTGGATCTGGAGACTTCGCGACAAGTCAGGACCGAGCTCTCCCCGCAAAGATCGCCAGGAGGTACAAGCCAGGAGAACAACCTGGAGAGCCGCCGACGAAGAAATCCAGGCTATGTATGAGGGGGGATTTAGATCCGGACATCCTGGATCTGCAGAGGTTTTCGCCCACCTTGAACACTGTGTCACTGTGAACTTCAATGTGATGCTGGATAGCAGCCAAATGTCAGCCACAGTAGGCGACCTGAAGAATGCATTCTGCCAAAGCCAGCCTCTTCATCGACCGAAAGGCACGCTAGACTTCCAGCAGCCGAAGGAAAGGGTGGTTGGGCCGAACAGATCATAGCCGGGTGCTATGGACTGGTGGACGCACCTTTGCACTGGCGTCGCTCCTTGACCGAAGACATGAAAGCCTTAGGGTACGAGCAGTCGGCATTGGATCCTTGCGTCATGAAGCTCTACAACAAGGCTCATACCAAACTTCTGGGAGCAATCGCCATTGAGGTGGATGACTTGTTCACCGTTGGCCACGCCGAGCACCACCACAAGATGGAGCTGCTCCGGAAAAGGTACACCTTTGGAAAGTATGTGCACCTGCAGAAGGAGAAAGACGGCTGCACTTTCAATGGTCGTCGAATTCGTCAACTACCCGAAGGGGGCTTGACATGCAGAAGTTCACCGAGGAGAGCCTGAACCAAGTGCCTTTGGAACGAGGACGACGAGCAGACAAGAAGTCCAAGGCCACGGGAGATCAGCGACACCAGAGCTGTTTCTGGGGCTCTGATCTGGTTGAGCCGTGAAGGCCGTCCGGACGCTTCAGGACCTTCAAGCCTGATGGTGTCGAAATTGTCGAAGATGACCGTGGAGGGCATCGTGCAGATGAACCAAGTGGTCCTTGAGCTCAAAGACAAGGCCGACCTGTGCTTACAGATCCAACCGCTCAAAAGGATGCGACTTAGTGTGGTGACCGATGCCTTGTTCGCCAACAGTGGATTCCACTCACAAGGGGGTCACCTGGTTCTGGCGCATGAAAGCCAGTTGAGAGATGGCCACTCCATGCCGACCAACATCGTGGCATGGAGGAGCGGGAAGCTACAGAGGGTCGTTAACTCGACCCTCGCTGCCGAAACTCAGAGCTTGTCCCGAGGCTTGAGCTTCTTTGGCGATCATGGTGATGGTGCAGGAGCTCCAGGACGGGAACTTCAAAACGTCAAGGCCTGGCGTGAACGCCTTGGAGGTGAAGAGCTGCTGGTCATGGGCTCGGAAGCGAGTGAGGGCTTCCTGAAGGAGTCCCTGGCTGTGGTTGATGCAAAGTCGTTGTACGACCACCTTTCGCCCTTCTGCGGCCTTGGATCTTTGGATGTTGTTTGGCCTCGCAGATATCACTCTTGAACTCCTTGGAGGCCCACTGCACGATCTCGCCCCGCACCATGGCGGCCCGTAGGAATCTCACAATTGAGGATGCCCCACAGCTTTGTGGACTTTCATCGCGGCCCTCTTCTCTGCTTCCGAGATCTCTGCATAGCCGGGGCAATCATCTTCCACTGGGCCCGGCTCATCATCTTCCTCCTCGCCCTCGACGTCGTCGAGGACATAGCATGCTGGAGCTGGCTTTCCGAGGTACTCGACAATGGCCTTGGCGACTGCCTGGCATAGTCTGTCTGGGTAAACCTGTGCCCATTTGGCTTTGCCATGTCGGTGCTGGTGGGTCTGGTCGTAGCGAACGTCCAGAGCCCTGAGAACTGGAGGCATTTTGGAAAGCCAGCGAGTCCTCTTCCGGTTCTCCGTCAATTGCTGCATCTGGGAGGCATTCACCTGGGAAAGGTGTATGGTTGTGGCGGCTTGCTCGTTCTGTTGCAGCATGATCAGTTGTCATCTCTTGGCGTAGCTCCTGCCTCATCTGCTGGTAATCCTCCGCGCCCGGGGTGCCTGGCGCCTCCAGCATCATCTGCCCTTCGCTCTTCATCGGTGTCCTTGGAGCTGATGCCATTGAGGTTCGCGTCGGTGTAGTCGGTGAGCCCGCCTCTGACTTCTTCCCCATGTTTTGACTGAAGGGGCCGCCGGGCCGTGCTTGAGCATCTTGCCGCTCTTTCGGTGCGG